TGCTGAAATAAAGTCCTTTGAGTTCAAATAACTGAAAGTGTAGCGCTTGCCAAACAAAATGTCTTGTCTATGAGTTCGGCTATTCAACGGCTTGTCGACAGGGATCAATCGTCTCTTCAACATTAACTTGTACTGTCCTAGGAATGATGCTTTGCTCTTTGTGTTTATAGTTAGCATTTGTTATTCTTGAAACAAGTTGGTGACATTGGACTTTGTAATTTAATACTGTAATGTTGCTTTGGCTTCAAGGTTGAATTGTACAGAGAAATTAAAACTAATGAAAAGGGCATCTTGAACAGTCAATTTTTGAACATTGGCTATTAACATGATGCCTTTTGCATTGAACAGTCAATTTTTGAGCAAAAATCTACTCACAGCTTGAGTTAGGCAATGAATCTACTTGAGTTCTCTTGACTTTTTAGACTTTGGAATTCTTCTTGATATTTATATCTTCGAAACCTGGAAATAATCCTTGTGCAAATCACATACAAACTTGAATGGTGAACCTTTCACGGTAAGCAACTTAGTAACAACTTTTGAACCATTGAGGATCACCCTTGTACCTTGAATAAATGATTTGAAATTTAGAACTTTTACTTCGCAAATCAAGTCTCGCATTAATCTCCTCAAATGGCATGAATTAGAATTTCTTTTGAAAGAAACATAAATTTGCAAGAGAATTTTTGAGCGTTTAGCACTTGGAATCCTTCGACAGAGCCCTAACTTAGTTCTGGTTCAAAATTTTTTCTAAATATCCCAATATAAACAAACTTTGAAATACCATAAACAATGGTCCAAAAAGATATAAAACCTCTAAAGTCCAGCAACTCCAAATTGAGGTTCATGTTCCAAGACTTCATCAACATTCTAAACCACAAAGATTACATCTTGGCCTTGTCTTTACCCAACGTATGGCTACAAAACTCATCGATATATAGACTTGAAATTAGTGCTAAAATATTAGGGAGAAACGGTCCTACACTAGTTGGTTGAGGGATACAAATGAAAGCATATCCTTCTCTTATATCCTCAGGAAGTCAGAACCGCTCTTAACAAAATAGCCTTGACTAGCCTGCATACAGGACCTT